TCAATTTAACCCTTTGGTTAGCGGATCTGCAATGTTGTCCTTAGACTTTACATAGTCTATAGAGACAACTCCATTCGAGAGTAGTTGTTGTATTGAATTATGTCTACGACGGATATGTCTAGACTTTCCATTATATATATTACTCTGTGCCCTACCAATTGTAGATTGACTATCACAATGAATGCAAATAGCTGGCACAGGTTTAGACCAATGTGGAATATCTTCAATGAAATGGCGAAGCCATTCTGCTTCTTCCGTTGCTTTATCCAAAGCAATAAACTCTGATTCCATCGTTGATCTAGATATACACGTTTGCGCGGAAGATTTCCAAGACACGGCTGCCCCACCAAGAGTGAACACATATCCACTAGTAGATTTTGAGTCCTTTATATCTGATATCCAATTCGCGTCACTATATCCTTCAAGCACCGCTGGATATCGAGTATAATGCAGCCCATAATCCTGAGTGTAGCGTAAATACCTTAACACCCGCACAATGTCCTTCCAATGAGAAGCATCAGGATTACTTGTGTATCTACTAAGCCTGCTAACCGAGACTCATCAGATACATTAAACTTCCAATTACCCGAGAATATTCTAACTGAGAGACACTCTCTTTATTATTCTTGGTAAAGTGTAGACTTAAGTCTACAGGTGTCGATGACACACTCGTATCTGATCCACTAAACTTCTCAAGTATCTTATCAACATAATGAGACTGAGAAAGTACAATTCCGCCAGAGATTCTGGTAATCTTAATTCCCAGAATAACATCTGCAATGCCCATATCCTTCATGTCAAATTTAGAGTTTAACAACTTCTTGGTAGTTTTGATCATTTCATCGTTACTACCTATAATGAGCGTATCATCAACATATAGATACAAAATGACATAACCTCTGTCAGTGTCTTTGACATAAATACACTTGTCACATTCGTTGATTTGAAACCCATTTGACAGCATTACATTGTCAAACTTCTCATGCGATTGTTTAGGCGATTGCTTCAAACCATACAAAGATTTGACAAGTTTACAGACTTTCTTGCTTTGTCCTAGAGCTGAAAACCCTTCAGGTTGCTCCATGTAGATTTCTTCATTCAAATCCCCATTTAAGAAAGCTGTCCTTACATCCATCTGGTGTATCTCAAGATTGCGCGAAGCTGCTATCGCAATCACTATGCGAATGGATGTTATCCTAGTTACAGGTGAGTATGTATCAAAGTAATCTAGGCCTTCTCGTTGCCTGTACCCTTTGATAACGAGCCTCACCTTATACTTTTCTATAGACCCATCGGCCTTCATCTTTCGTTTAAAAATCCATTTGCAGCCTAAAGGCTTACAACCTGGAGGTAAATCTACCAACTCCCAGGTGTGGTTCTGTAAGATGGAGTCAATCTCACTTTTGATCGCTTCTTTCCATAAAGGACTCTCAGGAGAAGTCACACCTTCGTGGAAAGTTTGAGGTTCGTTCTCAACCATATAAGTCAAGAAGTCTGGACCAAAAGATTTGGATGTCCTAGCCCTTTTACTCCGTCTGGGCTCATCTAAAACCTCAATTTGATCATCACCTGGATCATCAACATGATCATCCTCACTAGCAAGCTCATCAAATTGCTCCAAAGACCTTGGAACCCCTGCATGGGTTCGGCAAGGAAAAATGTCTTCAAAGAAACATGCATTCCTTGACTCCATGATGGTATTCCTGTGAATGTCTGAAGTTTCAGACTTATGTGCAAGAAATCGATATGCACTACTATTATGTACATAACCAATGAATATACAATCCACGGATTTCGGGCCCATCCTAACCTGTTAGGGTGTAAGAATCGCCACTATTACAAGACACCCCCACATTCGTAAGAATTTATAAGAAGGCTTAACGCCTTTCTATAACTCATACGGGATCTTGTCTACTTCGCTTCAACACAAGTTTCACACTTGTGTTTCGTCAGAACAACCTTGTCGGACTCAAAAAAAAATCATGCGAAAAACATGTTTACTGAGAAGAGACCTTGAGACAAGATTCTAACGAATGTCCGGAACATACAGGACTTCGTTCAAGGTTAGATCTTTTCCTGAGGTTAACATCAGGACCACCTTTCCCTCAACAAATGAGGTAGTAGAGTTTCCCACAAACAACTTCTCACCGTTTGTAACCGGTTTGAAAGTTGTAAACAGCTCCTTCTCGGAGTAGATGTGGCGTGTAGCCCTAGTAAAACTAAAAGCCTCGCTACCACAGTTGTAGCACTACCCAAAGAATCGAGAACCAGGTTCCCGCGGCTTGTAAGCCAGCTTCTTTGCAACACCACCCCTTGGCCCCAGCTTAGAGCTCTTGTTCACAGGGGGCTTTTTCCTTATCCCAGAAGATTTGCCATGCTCAACGACATTGGCCTTTACTGAGGAGGTACTCCCTCCTTTTCTTTCTATTATCCTCCTCATTACGGAGTCGGATAATAGGTCTTCTTTGTAGAATTTATACAAAGTTTTAAAACAAATCCTTGTGTCACAATGATTATGAAACTCTCAAAATCATATCACAGTAAATACATTCTCAGAATGTCATCAACCGAATTACGCACCTAAATATATTTGGTCCAACCTATCACTTTGAAGCCATATAGTCTTACTATTAGGAAACACAAATCCAGTGTTCAATAGTCTACTATTCGGAACTTCATAACATGGCCAGTAGTCTTATCACTAGAATCACTAATTTCTCAGCAGTGGTCAAAACTTTCTACTAGTAGGAATCACAATGTCTTAACCTGTGATCATAGTCACTTTGCTACTAGGAATCACAACGTCCTGACATAGGGTCAATAGACTCTTCATACTAGGAATCATCATGTCTTGACATATGACCAGTAGCCTCTCCACTACTAGGAATCATGATGTTTTGACATGTGATCAGTAATCTGTTCACTACTAGAAACCACAATCTCATAACTGGTGAGCCAGTGGCCAAACACCTCCTAGGAACACCAGTTTTCTATCTCTGTGATCAGTGATCTTGTACTCACTAGGAACCACCAATTTAAGAATATATTGGAATTTAAAATCCAAAAAATATTCAACCACTATAACAGTTGTCTCATCTTGCTTTCAAGCAAAGTCACCATAGCAATCACAAGGATACCAAACTAATTGCCTCTGATCAAATCAGAGAAATTTTTAATGCAATCTTATGATTTCCTTTATCATACTTGATCTCTTCAAGATCTTTCTTTAAGAATCTCGCGAGGCTAAGGTTGTCAGGTGGAACAACATTTCTATTTGTCACCTTTTGAAACCATTTCTGAAACATCACAACAGAATTTCACTTCTGTGATTCTAAAAAATAAACTTAACCCTTAGAAAATCCCTTAGATGGAAATTTAATTCAAAACTAGTCTCACCATTTAATCTAGAATGCAACATGGTCAGGAATGTTCCTAGGAAGACTGGAGGGGTCACATCACGGTCCCACTTAAAACCCAGTTAACCTTTGACAAAACATTCAAGAGCATGTTGACTCCTATCCATAGGAAA